AACTTAAGATCAATTTTTTGAATTATCAAAATATGTGTTTTTTGAGACATTTAAAGAAACAAATGATTCCGATATTACTGGTTAACGTCAGGCAAATATTGGAACAATCAGATTTTTATTTTGTAAACCTAACAAAATATTTCTATTTTAATATGAATTTTTTTTAAATAGACCTGAGAAATCAATTTTTGTAATATAGTTTTTTAATATTTCATTGAGGAATTATTTTGAAGAATCAAGATATTAATTATTAAATAATTAATTTATTGTATCGGTAATTCACATTTTATATAGGATTTTATGGAAATTAAATTGTATGTTTTTAGTAAAAGCAAATTTAATTTAAACGAAATATATAGAAAACATAGTAAACTCAAATATATTAATCTGCGAAGCCAATTTGGTTAGATTTTGGATTCCAAAGGTTTATCGAGCCGTGGAGAATCATTTCAATAAGGTTGTCTCTTTGGGATATCCCTGGTGCGCTGCAATTACTAAATTAGAAAATTGATATTTATTTAATATATTCCACTTACTTGAGCTACCTCTGGTGTGTAACTTCTAGTTTTCTATAATGCAAAACAGTATTAGTATAATATAGTATATTTAATTTAAATAAGATTACCCTAGGACCAGAGATCTTTTCCGGGATTTGTACGGCGGGGGCAACTGCTGGTTTTCCATGGGGTAAATCGAATGTTCCAGTCTAAATGATCGAAATTAAATTGAAACCATGTTACACTATTAATTGTAATTAAATAAAAATAATATTTACGTGAGGTGCTGGTGGGGAATTTCTGGTCTTCTGTAAACGAAAAGAAGTTTTAGATATATGAAAACTGTTTACGTTCTACCATTTTACCCTAGGACCAGAAATCTTTTCTGGGATTTGTACGGCGGGTCCAACTGCTGGTTTTCCAGTCTAGATTATCAAAGTTGAAGTTTAAAAAAAAAACACGTTAAGGCTATTAATTGTAATTAAATAAAATTTATATTTACTTGAGGTGCTGGTGGAGAATTTCTGGTCTTCTGTAAATGAAAATGAGATTGAATGAAATGAATGAAAACTATTTACGTTCTATGACTTTACCCTTGCTCCAGAAACTTTTTCGGGAATTGCTACGGCCGGCCTAGTCGATGGTTTTCCATTTGGTAAATCGAAGGTTCCAACTGCAGGCTATATCAGTTTTGATGTTGATACATAAATCATATAATTAATATGTACGAGTACTTACTTGTGCTACTTGGGCTGGTGGAGAATTTCTGGCTTTCTATAAATGTCGAAAATAATTAAACTTTATATATGCAATATGTAAAGAATATAGTGTTATTACCCTAGTTGGAGAAGGCTTTCCATTTGGTAAATCAAAAGTTCCTATCTGTGTTAAGAATATAAAATATAAAAAAATAAATTTTAAATTTGTTTTAAACTTGTACACTTACTTGTGGGCTTCTAGTTTTCTGCAAATAAATTAAAAAATATATGACAAAGATTAAATTATAAAAACTTTCGTTCTTACCCTTGCAGGTCCAGGAACTTGTTGAGGAATTGGTACTGCCACATTGCCTGGTCTAGTTTGGGAAGGTCTTCCATTTGGTAAATCAAAAGTGCCAACGGCTGGTTTTTGCGCGGCAATAATGCCGAAAACAGCCAATAAAACAATAACTTTAGCAATCTAGAAAATGTAATGAATTAATGCACTGTATATATCAATTATGTTACTGTTGCAATGATCCTCCTCGTCTTACCATGTCTTCTGCAATTCTATGAGCGAACTGATGATTTGCATTATCTACCGGCGTCTTTATATACCAAAATATTACACACCTGGTTCGTATCGATTGCGTCACATTTGTTTAAATATGAAATATTATTTTACTGGTCGAGCTAATTGATCTTCAAGCTTCTGGAGGTCAATTTTCTTGTTTATTTTCTCGGAAATAGACAAACAAACAAAAATAGTGATATTGCGTTTCTACGGGGGAAATACCTATCGACGTGAACCGATAACAATTCTTCAAGTAGCCTTTAATAATCGAAATTATGCAATTCACTTTATAAACTATTATATAATACAAACGAGAAGCACCTTGAATGTATGCTGTTGTTCAACTTAATTAGTTCCTTTTAACTGCTTCATAACAATATAAAAAAAGAACATGTTGATTTATAATAGCAAAAAACTTTAACGTACTAAACAATATCTAATTCTATTTAACTAAAAACATGATTAAATAATTTTATTCAATTTTCATACATTTCATACATATACCTACATAATAATACATATACCTGAAATAAAACATAAGTATAAAAATATTTACATTTAATTTTACAAATGGTGTCTGGCATATTATTTATTTAAGGAATTGACACCAATTCGTGTTCATCGTTTGATTAGGAATCAAATAGATTTAGCCGAGAATTGAGTAAATAGAAACGGAAAAATTGTATTTACTATTTTAGAATTGGTGTTTATTTAAAAGAAACTAAGTAGTCTCTTACATCATCTACTAGCACACAAACCTCTAGGCTATTTATAAAAAGAATTTAATTTCTAATAAAATTATTTAGTTTGATGTCATCTTTTAAAAAAATACTATAATACATCAATAGTCCGGTTTTGATCAATCCCGATTTACTATAGTCCGGTTTGAAAATTTGAATACTAAAGTAATTAGTGAACAGAATTTAGAATATTTATTTTTTGTATGTATTTTGTTCCTCGATTGAAACCGATTTGTCGGACTATGCTAGGTATTTACATTTATGTTGAATATATGATTTAGTTGAATAAAATTTGTTCTATTTATTGTCCATTAATAAATGTTTATGCATATTTCAATAAAACGCAGTCTGCCCTCATGATGGACAGACTGCGTTTAATAGAGCGAATATTATATGATGGTATTGGTGCATTTGAAGGAAGAAATTCCGAAAAAACGACAGCAAATGAAGAAGAAAAAAGTGCTCTTTATTATATAATATAATTTTCATCATTCTATCTCACAAAATATATGTAATTTACATTATTTTACACCTGCATTTATTTAAGAAAACATCTTAAAGCGTGATGTAATAATTTTAAATGCATCTTTATACAAGCATCAACGTCAATATTAACTTAAAGGTTATAGTCTCCTATTTGCAATATATTATGATTTTTAATAAGACTGCTTTTATTAATTATCTTTATATTTTACACTTAATACTTTTTTAAGTCTCATTGTTATGACCTAAGTTATTAATTTCTATTAAATTATAAATGTCTTATTTTATTGTTTCATAGTTAGCAAACAATGTAAAGATTTTGAATTATTTGTTATTTTTTTATCTATTTCAATAATGAAGAGTAATGAAGAGATTTATATGCATTTGTACAAACAAATACTGATTCAATTTTAATAACATATTTGTGAGAATTCTAGTCATTTGTTTACAGAAAGCTAAAAATGGATGCGAATAATAAAATGTAAACAGATAATGTATATTCCGTGACGCTAATTATGTGTTTTTTAAAATTATTTTCTGCCGATGTAATAAAGAATTGTAATTAAATAAGCATTATAGTCGAAAGACCTATAGTCGATAGATCTTTGCAGCATTTAATTTTATATTTAATTTTTATTCTTGTATTTTTGCAATATTATTATTATTAAACAATTTAAATATTCAATGTGCCAGGAAAGCCATAACTAACTAATACAAAAATGACAAAAAATGTAGCAAGTAAATTTTTAATAAATTCAATACGTTAAAGATTTCTTTTGATAAAATATACCCATATAAAGCAGTGGTTTTCAACCTTTTTTATAATGTATCGACTCTTAAATTGAATATTATGGTTTTTATTAGAAAAGATTACAACTTTGTTTAACTTATAATATTATAATTATATAAAAAATATTTTAATGTAACAAAAACAATAATCACCTTTAATATAAATGCGATATTTGATGTTGGGTTTTTCTTTTTCGTACTAATAATTAGAATTAGGATAATCTAAAAATAAGACTTCGGGTATATTTGTTAATCTTTGACATATTTTTTTGCAATTCCACATATTTGAAAATTGATTTTTTTATTCAATATTCTATTTCAGTTCCATAAATTCAATATCGGCTGTCGGTTTCAAATGATTTTACAATCCAACACGGGACATCTAAATTGGCTAAATCTTTGTAACAAACATTGTTATCTTTTTTTAATTGTTTTAATTAATATATGTCGAGTTGAATCTATCCGCATTGAATTTAAAATTTCAAAATATCAAATATCATTTCGATTTCAAACAGACATAAACAAATCAATTTTAGAACAAAATGAAAATATTACTCATCGAACTTCAACTAGATTCAGTAGATTCTTAGTAATTTTGTTCGCATATTATTAAATACAGATAATATATTTATTCGTATTAGTATCAATGTTAATACTGAACATAATAATTGTTGCTGTCATTATATATATATTAAATTTAGTTTATTTCAATCTTATCTTAAATTGATATGGTTTATTTTTGATTGTAATATATTTATTAGTTATGTACATATTTATAAAAATGTTAATAATGTAACTCATGGAGCTAACTTTTATAAATAATAATGTTTATTGAAACATTAAAATTACAAAATTCAATACATTAATATAAATTTCATAAATCAAACTGCTTCAAAGGGCTATTGTCAATAATATTTGAACGGTTAATTATTTTTGTTAGGAATACAATCTTGTGCTAATAACGACATGGTAATCTTTATTTTTTTTTTTTTTTCCTCAATGTGACTAGGTGGGGAATTGATCCCGTTGCCTTTTATCTCTCGGAAACATGTCGGTGAATGTTGTGTGAGTGAAAACTCTGCCTTACGGCACGTGGCTCTCGTTGAAGGTGTGACGATTTAGCCTGGTTGCTCAGCTGGAGGTGGAAGGAAGTGCAGTCTTGGGAGAGCGTTGATAACAGTTGATGTCATCGTTAAGAATGGCTCTTCTCAGGTGATTCAG